ATGGCATTATTTAGAAATTATAAATTGCAGACTTATTTCTGTCATAAGCTATGTCTTTCATTAAAAATCATTAGAAATTTTATTTACTCTTTCTATTAAAGAGTGATTAGGTCATGATTTCTTTTATGATTTTTTTTATCATAAATTTTAAACCATAATCTTTCGTAACAAATTTAAGAAAGATTGAAATCTTTTTACCTTACATCCACATAACTTCAGATATGCAGTGTAACTGCATGATGGGTGTGTTCCCTCCTATCAGCAGAGCTTGGCTCACAATTGACAGTGATATATTCATGTGGAACTATGAAGATGGGTATGTATTTAACACTGGTTTGCTGTACCATGATTAGAATTTAGATTATCTTAATTGCAGCTAGTGTTCTACTTAGAAGCTGCCTGGTTTTATCTTTTATTTGTCTAATAACTGGGTTAGTGCTCCTCAGTCTACATACCAGGCCCCTGGGGATGAAATTAAAATGTGGATTCTGGGGCAGCCCGTGTGGCTCAGGGGTTTAGTGCCGCCTTCAGCCCAGCCCGATCCTGGAGATCCGGGATTGAATCCCATGTCAGGCTCCCTGTGTGGAGCCTGCTTCTCTCCCTGCCTGTGTCTCTGCCTCTCTCTCTCTGTGTCTCTCATGAATAAATAAAATCTTAAAAAAAAAAAAATGTGGATTCTGTTATGGTAGTTCTGAGTGAGCCTCAAGAGTCTGCATTTATGGGACGCCTGGGTGGCTCAGTGTTTGAGCGTCTGCCTTTGGCTCAGGGTGTGACCCTAGGGTCCCGGGATTGAGTCCCCGCATCTGGTTCCCTGCATGAAGCCTGCTTCTCCCTCTGCCTGTGTCTCTGCCTCTCTTTCTGTGTCTCTCATGAATAAATAAATAAAACCTTAAAAAAGAAAAACACTCTGCATTTGTAACAAAATGCCAGTGGTGATGCCAGTCTCAGTAGCAGGGGTTTAGTTACCAAGCTCTGATCTTCCAATAAGATAGCCTACCAGTTATTTGAGAGATGGTTTGACTTTTTTTTTTTTATTTGACATTTTTAAAGATCTCTCTTTTTTTAAAATATTTTATTTTATTTTATTTTATTGTTTAAAGACTTTATTTATTCGTGAGAGACACAGAGAGAGAGGCAGAGACACAGGAGAGGGAGAAGCAGGCTCCTTGCAGGGAGCCCGATGTGGGACTCGATCCCTGGTCCCCAGGATCATACCTCAGAAATGAGCTGAGTTTGATTTTGCTATTGCTGTGATTACCCTCAGTGGACCACAGGTTTCAAATTCCTGTAGAATTACTTTGCACTTAGGATACAGGTTGAGATGCTGGAGGTTTTTTCTTTTTTTTTTTTTTTAAGATTTATTTATTTCTTCATTCAGAGAGAGCAAGAAAGAGGCAGAGACACAGGCAGAGGGAGAAGCAGGCTCCATGCAGGAAGCCTGATTTGGGACTCGATCCCGGGTCTCCAGAATCACACCCCGGGCTGCAGGCGGCGCTAAACCGCTGCGGCACCAGGGCTACCCCTGGAGGTTTTTTCCTTAATGTTTCTGTTCTACCCTCAGCCATATACTTTCCCTGTGAGTCTGTTCGTAGAGGATCTTGCCCCAACAATAGAATTGCTGTTACTTGAGCCTTGCAACTTGCCTGGGAGGAAGTTTGGGATGGAGGGCAGCATTTCCTGTTTTCTTGGTTTATGCTTATTAACCTTAGGCCTGTGTTTCTGGACCTTGGAACTGAAACAATTTTGTTTGCTGGTTTAGTTTTCATTACATACTGTAATCTTAAACAATATTTTAAGATAAAACTTTGTTTTCTTTATACATATAACATGTTACTTTTTTATTTACAGAGGAGATCTCGCCTATTTTGATGGACTTAGTGAAACTATTCTTGCCGTGGGGCTTGTGAAACCAAAAGCTGGTAAGAAATAAAAATGTAGGGGATCCCTGGGTGGCGCAGCGGTTTGGCGCCTGCCTTTGGCCCGGGGCGCGATCCTGGAGACCCGGGATCGAATCCCACATCGGGCTCCTGGTGCATGGAGCCTGCTTCTGTCTCTGCCTCTCTCTCTCTCTCTCTGTGACTATCATAAATAAATAAAAAAAAAAAAATAAAAAAAAAAAAAGAAATAAAAATGTAATGATTAATTTATGTGGTGTGGTGGTGGTGTGGGTGGTGTATAGACTTAAAATGGTTTAGGACTGCACAGCCCAAGTGACTCAATGGTTTAGCACCACCTTCAGCCCAGGGGCTGATCCTGGAGTCCCGGGATTGAGTCCCACGTCGGGCTCCTGGCATGGAGCCTGCTTCTCCCTCTGCTTGTGTCTCTGCCTCTCTCGTCTGTGTGTCTCTCATGAATAAATAAAAATTTTTAAAAAATAGTTTAGGACTGAATAACAAATTTTAAGTAGTTGAAATTTTTATTGAAGTTTAGTTCTGAGTTCTAATTAGAAATATATAAAGTGATTAGGAATGTTTAATAGGTTATTCACTTTATTTTTTTTTAAGATTATTCATAGAGGCACCTGGGTGGTGCAGTCATTTAGGTATCCGACTCCGTTTTGGCTCACATCATGATCTCAAGGTTCTGAGATTGAGCCCACATGGGGCTCCACATTCAGTATGGAGTCTGATTAAGACTCTTTCTTCTTGGGACGCCTGGGTGGCTTAGTGGTTGAGCGTCTGCCTTTGGCTCAGGGCATGATCCTGGAGTTCCAGGATCGAGTCCCATGTCGGGGTCCCTGCATGGACCCTGATTCTCTCTCGGCCTCTGTCTCTGCCCCTCTCTGTGTCTCTCATGAATAAATCTTTAAAAAAAAAAAAAAAAGACTCTCTTCTTCTCCCTCTACTCCTGCCCCTTGCTTGCTCATGTTTGCTCTCAAGAGCATGTTTACTTTCTCTCAAATAAATAAACCCCCCCCTTTTTTTTAAGATTTAATTTATTTGACAAATAGCACTAGGAGGGGGAGGGAGAAGTAGGCTCCCTGCTCTGTGGGGAGCCTGATGCTGGGCTCAATCCCAGGACCCTGAGCCAAAGGCAAATAGATGCTCAACTGACTGAGCCACCCAGGCGCCCCTAAATAAATCTCTTTTACAAAAGTATCTAAAAGTTTATTCATAATAAGTCGAGAGCTATTCCTGCTTGGCATTTTAGTAAATATAAATTGTCTATCTAAAACAAATAGTAAAATTTTGTTCTACCCAACTGTAAACTTCATTGCAAATTTAAAATTATGACACAGTATTTGATAGGACAATAAATGTGTTGTCTTTTATAATGAAACCTTTTTTTTTTCTTCTTTTTTTTGAGAGAGTGTGCGAGTGGGGGGCAGAGAGGCTTAGGGAGAGAGAATCCAAAGCAAGCTCCATGCGCAGCACAGAGCTGGCTGGACTCCAAGGCTGGATGGATCTCACCTCTGAGATCATGACCTGAGCCAATATCAGTGAGTCAGACACTTAACTGAATGAGCCACCTAGGTGCCCTGATTATGAAATAGTTCTGACTTTGTCATAAGTACTGAAAATTCTGATTTTTGAACATAATGTTAAAGCTAACAAAATCCTTATCTTTACCTTTTGTAAGAACATATTATTCATAAAGTCATTGTTTTCTAAGTCCAGCTTTTTGGCAAGAGTTTGCTTTATTGGTGATTTCTGTTTAAGGAAGCAGAATATGAATACATGTTTCAATTTTATGATTGAGTAAACATGAGTGTTTCTGCGTTTTTTAGCATTTGCAGGTTTTTGTCCACAGAGAAATGGACGGCTTAATCACACTTTTTCTGGGTTTAGGGAAGCATTTCTTATGTGTTGAAAGATACACATGGCTGTCTAGTTTCATTCGTATCTTCTTGAGAGGTAACTTAGCTGAAAGAGCTTGTGGCTTTGGGACGTTATTTGTTATAGTGATTATGAGTGGTTAATGATTTCTGAGTCAACTTACCTCATCTGTATGATGTAGGAGGACTGCCACCAAAGTCAAATCATGTGTAAACTCCTTTCTGGAATTTATTCTTGGAATGATCTTTCCTGCCTCTAATACAGTAAACCTCCTATAGGTCTAGTCAATTACTTCTGGAAAGCCAGTGGACTTTTCAGTAGAAGAGAACTTTATATTTTCCTGTTCGGAACCAACAACTCTTGAAAAGGTGCCAGTTCTTACTGTCATTGAAGTTGATTTAGAAGTTGAAGGTACCATTGGCCAAGTTTTCAGTGCCAAAGCATGCCTTTCTAAAATGCAGTGGGTTACGGTACTGTTGAGTGTCTTCATCAAAGCAGCAAAAACAGAAGTGTTAGCAAAGGATCCTGCGTGTTCATATTTGTGCACAAGTATTAAACTATTTCTTTCAAAACTTTTTCAAGCTTTTTCAAAACTTTAAAACTTTTTCATCCAAAAGCAGTGAAACTTTATTTTTTAAAAGAGATTTATTTATTCATTCATTCATTCATTCATTCATTCATGAGAGAGAGGGAGGGAGAGGCAGAGCCACAGGCAGAGGGAGAAGCAGGCTCCACGCAGGGAGCCTGACGCGGGACTCGATCCCGGGTCTCCAGGATCAGGCCCTGGGCTGAAGGCGGCACTAAACCGCTGAGCCACCCGGGCTGCCCAGCAGTGAAACTTTAAACTGTTCCAAAGACCTGTATAACTTATGTTAATTTCTAAAAGGTACTAATAAGATGTATAATTTTATAGAAGTGAGAGCTGACAGAAGTGAGAAATGTCAATCATTTAACCTTGTTGCATCCTGAAGCCATCCTGAGATGGCTTCCTGGCTTCCATTTCTACCATTTCCTTTTGCAAAATACTTGTATAAATGATGAGAGATTTTAGAAAAGATCCCATCGTTTGGCAAGATATGTTTTACTTATCTCCCTTTACTCAAAGCCATAAACTGACTCCGCCATCTGTAAAAGTCTAACTTCATTAAAGTTTGTGTAATCAAAGATGACTTTTTTGGCATAGGCTGGTGACTGAGTACTTAGAGATAAGGTTTTTATTATTTTTATTATATGGAGCACTTCACAAATTCGCATGTCATCCTAGTGCTGGGGGGCATGCTAATCTCTGTATTGTTCTAATTTTAGTATATATGCTGCTGAAGCAAGCATGAGATGAGGCTTTTATTAAGGAAAATCTAAGTTTTTATATAGTTCAAGCTTTTTAAATCAACGTATGGAATATCACTTATATTTTGAGTTCATTAGGTAGAAAATCTGTTTCTTCAGCTTTTACTGGCTTGAACCTTGATACACAAAAATGGCTTTTGTGCCCCTTGATGTTTAATCAGTGAAAGTAAAAGTTTCATTGTTCTTTCTTCTATGGTATTTAATTAATACCCTTAAATAGGCTAAGGGTATATACAGGAAAAAATGTCCGTAATTGTGACATAAGATATATTTTCCTTTATTCCTATCAGTAAGACACTATTTTTGGGTATCATAACATGACAGTGGTAATTATACATAGAATCTCATGCCACTGCACAGTTTTTAATGTTAATACCAAAAAAATAAACAGTACTTCAGCACGAACTAACAAAAAAAATTGTGTACTTGGTAATGTTCTGAGACTATAAATTACCTGTTTTTGATATATAAATTCATCTGGGAAACTCATTTAACATAAATTCATTTCTGTTTCTGTGAATTGGACTACTTTATGTACAAGTGGAATATAAGTGGAATTTATCTCTTTGTGACTGGTTTTTTTCACTTACAGTATTCTTTTTTTTTTTTTTTTAAGATGTTATTTGAGAGAGAGCAAGCACAAGCAGGGAGAGCAGCAGGCAGAGAGGGAGGGAGAAACAGGCTCCCCACAGAGCAGGGATCCCAATGTGGGGCTCTGATCCCAGGATCCTGGGATCGTGACCTGAGCTGAAGGTAGACACTTAACAGATTGAGCCACCCAAGTGTCCCATGATGTTCTTTTTTCTTTTAAGTGTGTGTGCATGTACATGAGTAGGGGGAACGGCTGAGGGGAGGGGGAAACCTCAGACTCTTCACTGATCCCGACCCGGAGTTTGATCTCACCACCCTGAGAGTCTGACCTGACCCTAAATCAAGATGAGATGTTCAACCAGTTGAGCCACCCAGGTGCTCCTCAATTAAAATGTTCTTAAGATTCATTCCAGTTGTAGTGTCAGTATGTCATCCTTTTTTAACACTGGATAATACTGCATTTTGTGTTCACATTTTGTTCATTCATCTGTTGGTGGACTCTTGAATTGCTTCCATCTTTTGGGTACTGTGAATTATACTACTGTCAGTGTAGTATACAAATAGAAGGTTGTATATTTTTTAATGTAATGCTGATTTTAAATGGTATTTAATACTGAAGTGTTTCTTTTCTAAGATGGTTCTTTTTTATTGCTTACTTATTTAAATGATCATAGATAGTAATATTTTAACATCAAAATTAAATTGAGGGGGGACACCTGAGTGGCTCAGCAGTTGAGCATCTGCCTTTGGCTCAGGGCGTGATCCTGGAGTTCTAGGATCAATTCCCACATCAGGTTCCCTGCATGGAGCCTGCCTCTCCTTCTGCCTATGTCTCTGCCTCTCTAGCTCTGTGTCTCTCATGAATAATTAAATAGAATCTTAAAATGTATTAAAAAACAAAACAAAAACAAAATTAAATTGAGTTGAGGCTTTTCATATGTTATTTAACTTTTTTTTTTTTTTTCAGTAGGCTCCAAGCCCAACATGGGGCTTGATCTCATGACCCTAAGGTCAAGAGTTGCATGCTCTACCAACTGAGCCAGCCAAATGCCTGCTACATAGACTTTAATCATTAGGTTTTTTGGTTTTTTTTTTTTTTTTTTTTTTTAATATTATTTATTCATGAAAGACACAGAGAAAGAGAGGCAGAGACATAGGCATAGAGAGAAGCAAGCTCCATGCAGGGAGCCTGATGTGGAGGCTCAATCCTGGGACTCCAGGATCACACCCTGGGCTGAAGGCAGACACTTAACTGCTGAGCCATCCTGGTGTCCCATGTTTAATCACTAGTTTAATGGTAAAATATTAGTCTGTTAATGCTTAAATAGTGGAAATGGATGTTTTTGGAATAATCCCTAACTCCTGTCTGCTTTATCATAGGCATTTTTCAACCTCATGTACGACATCTCCTGGTTTTGGCAACCCCTGTGGATATAGTGATTCTTGGACTTAGCTATGCTAATTTACAAACAGGTATAGGAAACTACATGTGGTGTTTTTAAAATAAAAATATATTAGCCAATTTAGTATAATTAAAAGCTAATTTTTTCTGCTAAGTTAACTTTCCAGACTATTTGCTCATCAAAAATAGTATTTCCCTATGGGTGTGATATCTATCAGGTCACTAGGGCTATCAAGCAAATTATTAAAAAAAAACATATTTTGAATACATTTATCATATTAATGTACACTCCTTAAATGTACAGTATAAAGGGGGAGTAGAAGAGAAATGATTGACATTAGTGAGTTTTTCTATTAATGCTTTCCTTTGTTTCTAGTTTTTCAATTGTCATTTTAACATATGGAACACTTAAATATACATTATTCTTTCCTTTAATATAAGAAGCTCTCAATTTATTACTAGTATATTCAATGGCTTCTTTTGCATCCTGGCAGTCTCTCTGTTTTGAGTGAAATAATGTTGAATTTCAGTGGCTCAAATTAATGATTATTACTATCACATCCTTAGGCTCTTTTCCAAAATCTAATAATTTGGGATAGTTTTTTGATGATGTTGTACAATGTTATATATATTATGTATTTTTATATATATAAATATATAGTAGGTTCTATTTAATTTGAATAAATTATATCAGACTTTTTATACAGTAATTTAAAAGTATTATGTTATAGAAGCTTTTGGGTATCGACATACCCGGAATTCAGTAGAAAATATCAATTCTGAAGATAATGCAATAATTCTCTCAAACTTTAAAAAAACTGTTAAGCTGATTCATGTATTCTTTCTTTTAAAAAAAAAAAATAGGTTCTGGAGTTCTTAATGACAGTATGTGTGGTGGAATGCAGTTGCTTCCAGATCCTTTATATTCTCTTCCCACTGATAATACTTACCTTTTAACAATAACTTCCACTGATAATGGCAGAATTTTCTTGGCTGGAAAAGATGGCTGTTTATATGAAGTAGCATACCAGGTAAGTCTGGCATTTATAAACATTTTTTTCCCTCCTAAGGATAAGTAAAATAGGGATAGATTTTATTTTTGTTTTCTAATTATATAAGCACATAAATATATTTTTATGGAAAGTATTCAAATATAAAGTTAAAATGAGTCTTCTGTGACTACACCATGTCTATAAAACCCAGTCCAATCTCTTTAGAAGTAAAACCCTGGGTGGCTCAGCGGTTTGTCGCCTGCCTTTGGTCCAGGGCGCAAACCTGTAGCTCCGGTATTGAGTCCCACGTCGGCTCCCTGCATGGGGCCTGCTTCTCCCTCCTCCTGTGTCTCTGCCTCTCTCTCTGTGTGTGTCTTATCATGAATAAATAAATAAATAAATCTAAAAAAAAAAAAAGGTGAAACCTAGTACTGAGTATCTTTTTAAGACATGATACACTGATAAATATCTATACATATGTGTTTATATGTATACACATATACAAATTATGTTTGTATGTTTTTCCTTAGATTATTGCTTATGTTTTATTGACATAATTCATGTTATGTTTCCTGATTGCTGCATGATTGTCTATAAAATGGATGTATGTTATTTGCTTAATTCCTAGGTTTTGTTTTCCTCTTTGTAAATAATGCTATAGGAAATGTTCTTTTGCAGGCCCCTTTGTGTACATGTATACTTTTTTGTGTAGAGACTTAAGAATTCTAATGGCTGGTTTATGTAGTATATGTGTTTAAAATTATAATTAATATTTTCATTATTGCTTTTTTAGATGCTTAGCAGCCTTCTATGAATATCCTACCTCCCTTCACTGGTATTACCAAATTTACTAATTTTGACCAATCTGATTGAGGGAAAATTTTTTTATTACTAGCTGAGGGGAGGATCTTTTCATATATTTATTGATCATGTGTGTTTTTTCTGAAATTCTTTTTTATGTTTTTTCCATACTGTAATATTAGCTTTTTCATAAGGTAAGTGTTAGGAAACTGATAAATAATCTTAGAGTCACATAGCTAATTAATTAGTGGCAGAGCTAGGATTTAGGATTACAACCCTGGTCTACTGTGTTTTGTTTTTTTGTTTTTTTTCTTTTTTAAAGATTTTTATTTACTTATTCTTGAGAGACACAAAAAGAGAACAAGGCAGAGACACAGGCAGAGGGAGAAGCAGGCTCCTTGCGGGGAGCCCGATGTGGGACTCGATCCCGGGTCTCCAGGATCAGGCCCTGGGCTGAAGGCGGTGCTAAACCACTGATCCAATGAGGCTGCCCTGTGTTTTTTTATATTACATTGTATCTCTCTCTTACCTAGTTTCTCTTGGCAGCTTTTCATTACCGGAAAAAAAAAAAATGGTTTTGTATGGCAAAAGTCAGACATTGAGAGGTAAACTATAGATTGTGGTGGCAATGGCTGCTGTTGTTAAGATTCCTTTTTAGCTAAAATGGGAAGAGATGATACAAGTACCTTTATGTACTTTGGGCTCTTATAAACTGCACTTACTATATGCTTTACTACTTTCAAATAAAAGAGTTTTTAAGATAATTAAAATATGATTTTATTAACATAGCTCTATAAGGTTTTGAAATAGCTTGATTTCATTGAAAGCCATGATTTGATTATGGCTAACTACATTTTCTATTATTAGTTAAAGGATTAAATTAAGTACTAATTCTGAATAGTCTGTCTTTATAATTATGGGTATTTGACTAAGATTTGAGGATTTTTATACATGCGGGTATATAGCAGTTGCCAAATAGTAGTGACAAGTGTATCTATATTTACAAGTCTTCCTTCTTTTGATTTTTCCTTTTAAGGCAGAAGCAGGTTGGTTTAGCCAAAGATGCAGGAAAATAAACCACTCAAAGAGTGCACTTTCTTTCCTTGTTCCTTCATTACTACAATTCACATTCTCAGAAGATGGTAAGTAGAAAACAATAAATTTAACAACCAAATTTTCTGTTTAAGATTTTTATT